CTCGGTGAAAAATTCACAGTGATACCACCTAACCCAGTTCCTTCCTCTGCCACACAAGACACTACTGAGGCCTCTGATGTGTCTCTTTGTATCCTGAAAACTCCATAGACTTTGGCTTGCTCTATCCAGGAGAAGAAAGTGATGCTATGGAAAGAGCATTTTCCACGGCCGCCCCATGGAAGGGGAGGGTGGGCCCGAGCGTGGCGGGCCTCTCACCTCTTCTGCATGCCGTTGGTTTTCCAGCTCTGGGCCAGCACCACACTGCTCACCACTGGCTTCCCCCGCAGGGTCACGTAGTCGTCAGTTAAGTCCCCATTGAAGTTGCCACAGAGGCCACACACTTTGTTCTGCAGCCTCTCGCTGATGCTGATTTTTATGACGTTGAAGCCGTTGTAGTATATCTGGATGTCGGGGCTGGTGTCAATCACCAGGAACCCTTCGCTGCTGTAGATTTTGGTTGCCAACCCAGTTATAAAAGGGACATTCACTTGTGTGCCGTTCACCTATGGAAGACAATAAAAGTAAATGATCCTTAGAGCAGAGGTTTACAAGCATTGACTGTGACGGGCCAGAGTTAATATTTTATGATCTCTACTGCTACTCAACTCCAACCTCATGGCAGGAAAGCAGCCCATAGACAAGATGTCACTGAGGCTGTGTTCCAATAAAGTTTTACTTACAAACACAGGCAGCAAATAAATTTGGCTAAATCCTGTACTTTGCTGTCCCCTGTTCCAGAGTTCAAGGACACTCACTCATCTTACTGGCCACAGCTCCCCACAAAGAAGCAAAATATGAAAGCAGAGGTAAGAAAACATTAGAAAAATATAACCCACAACCAATGGCTGGATTTCCCAAGCATAAACCAATGACTGGAAATCAAGTTCAATCCTGCACTGACGAGTCTAACATGGCTAGCGTGAACCGCAGGAGTGTTGCTATCTTTACTGTTTTCTTGCCTATAATGTTGACAGGAGTCCAGCCCAGAGAGCCTGTAGCATAGCATTTTCTGCATTCATCATTTTCCTGCTTTATAACAATGTCTTTTCTTAGCTCTTAGGATATAACATAACATGCTTTTCTTATACTTACAAAACAAATTGTATTTTTTTTCACCTGCAGGTTATTAGTAATTTTTATTTCTTAAAAAATCAGAAGCCTTTAAAAATATGATTATTTTCTATTTTTGTAGCTTGGGGTAGTTTATTCAGCAACAATGTCAGTTTTGCTGTGTTGGGGGCTATGTTCACTCTGGCTCCTGGATTCTGGACCAGTATCATTGTGTCTACATGGGCCAATTTGCAAAAGGGACTGGGAGTTCAAAAAATAGTAGCAGCTTTCCCTGAAGTTAAAAACCAGCAGCAGAATGTAAACGCTTCCTTTAAGCTTGCAAAATACTGCCAGGCCTTTGCCTAACTCTGGATACTAAGCTACATGATGACTGTCCAAATAAAGATACACTCCCTTACTTAAGCCAATGATGGAAAGCAGATACGCACAATACTATTCAATTCCAAAAAATGCTCGTGTGTGTCCTGGCTCTATCCCTGCCTCCCTGGCTGTAACCGGAGCATCGAGGTCTGACGCTATCCTCAGGTCTACCTGTGGCGAGCAGCTGGTTTACCTGACGCTGGGAGTCCCTGTCAATAGTTCTCTAGAGCAGGTTACCTTCTTAAATGGAAGGGGTGGGAGGAATCTGAGTGAGAGAGGCATGTTCACTACGGGGTGGGCTGAGGTTCATTCATGCATTTATTTATTTTTCTATGTGTCTAAGATGCACAAGAAGCCAGGCAGCTGTCCCAGGGCAGCCAGCTGAGGACATCACCACCTTCGCCTGTTTGCCTCCCGCTGGCATGTCCTCCTGGGCCTGTCCTAGTGGGGGTGCTCCCTCCTTCAGGGTGTTGTTTAGCTACTTGTGTTTTTAGGCCAATGCTCGCCTTCTCTCCGCTTCTGGAAAAGATGGCAGAGATGGAAGAACGTGTCTGCGTGTAGGTGGGCAGGGCCAGAATAATTGTAACGGCTCAAATGAGATGCTCACCGGGAATTAATCCAGAGAGAGCGGAGGCCTCTGCCACGTTATCACCCGAAGCTCCGTGGGCACCGGCATCATTACACCCGAGATCCTGTGCGTGCCCCGCAAGCCCCGGACTGTCAGCAAAGGGACAAAGGGGCCCGTTCCTATGCTCGTAGAACCTTTATACCGCCTGCTTTAAAATCTGGGGCTCTGCCCTGGCTGGTTTGGCTCAGTGGATAGAGCGCCCGCCTGCGGACTGCAGGGCCCCAGGTTGGATTCTGGTCAGGGTACCTGCCCGGTTGCAGGCTCATCCCCAGTGGAGGTCGTGCAGGAGGCAGCCAATCAATGATTCTCTCTCATCACAGATGTTGCGCTCTCTCCCTCCCTCTTCCTTCCTCTCTGAAATCAATAAAAATACATTTAAAAATAAAATACAAATAAAACCTGATGATGTGTGCGTGGTGCCTATGCAGCAGCAGCCTGTGACCCTCACATCTGGTCATCAGGAAAGCGCCTGCGCAGGCCCTGGCCAGGCCGCCTGCACGTTTCCTAGCACCAGGGCGGGCGGTCACCTTGACGGTGTTGCGGTCGCTGATGAGAATCTGCTCCTCGTTGATGTAGAAGTAGACGGGCGAGATGATGGTGAGGTTGGGGGACGACCACTTGTCGAAGTTGATGATGAGCTGGAAGGAGATGTCGGGCAGCTTCTGGCAGATGGTGGAGAGCACGAAGGCGCAGTTGGCAGGGAAGCGCAGGAAGGCGCCGTCGAAGGTGCGGAAGACGCCGCCGCCAGCCGCCAGGCAGTAGGAGGTCCTGGTGCTGAAGCAGCCGCGCACCCCCGTTGGCGCAGGGGGGCATCTCCTCGGCCGGATTTGGACTTGGGGGGGGGGCCGCCATTGGGATCAAGTTTCCCCCCGAAAACCAGCCCCCCCCCCCCCCCCCAAGAAGCCCTTTTCCCAAAAAAAGGCTGCTTACCTTTCTTTAATGGAACTGATATTTGCAACAGGGAGCAGTAGAAAGGCTGCTTTCATTCAAATGCTACATCAGTTCCATGCAATTCAGATGCGAGACAATATGCAATTTAGCCTTTACTGGTTTCAGTCAAGAATTTGGCAGCTGTACAAGAATTTGTAGAATTACCCACAGGCAACCTGAATGTGCAGCTGTTAGGCTCTCAGATGGACTAGGTGAAAAGCAAATCTCTTTGGTAAAAAATTATTGTGGACCCATGGAAGCATGGAGAGAAGGTGGGGGAGGTTGGGTGGGAAGTAATCAACCAAGGACCTTGTATGCATATATGCATGGCCTATGGACACAGACAATGGGGCAGTGAGGGCCTGGGGTGGCCTGGCAGGAGAGGGTCAATGGAGGGGAGGGGGGAGGGACATATATAATACTTTCAACAATGAAGGATTATTTTTAAAAAATATTATTCTAACAAGTACTCCATTCCACTTCAAGGATGACATTTAAATTCATTCAAGAATAATAAACCAGCCCTTCAAATCCTAAATAGATAAAAAGAAGTGGTAGCCAACCCTTATGATGAACCATTTAACATTTCACAATACCCAACACTCCAGACTTTTTTCTTGTATCAAGGCCACTTCTTTTTATTTCTATTGCAAGTACCTCCATTTCTGTGTCATGAGTGAGAGATCTAAAAAACAGTGATGTTCCGTGAAAGGAAAGGTTTAGGATCAGGCCAACTGGATTCCACACCAGCCTTGGCATGATATATGTGCCACCTTGAGCAGCACGACTCACCGCCCAGGCTGTCAGTTTGCTATCTCTAAATTAAAGATAATAACGTCTTGCAGGGCACTCCTGATTTTGGTCCAGATGAAAGAGTAAGTAAATGCTGTGCTCACCATTTCCCATCAAAATTATATCTAAATTATAGAACAGCCATCTTTGAGAACCACTGTAGACTAGTGGGACAGGATCCTATAACTGAAAATATAAACAGAGCCATGTTGAGGTTGGAAGGAGGGGTAGGGATGTGAAATGGTTGATCCCACACTGTGTGGTGGATAGGAATCCGCAGGGATATGTTGGCTGTGGAGGTCCCCCCTGAGGAGTGAGGGGTCCCAGTCCCCCACGGGATTCTTCAGTCAGAGTACCAGTGCCAGGAAAAGTAGTCCCCACAATGCCTTTCTGTGAAAATCAGCTAAGACTCCATTTGGGTGAGACAGGGTTGCTGGAGTCCCAGGCATTCCTCTTAAAGGGCCCAAGCAGAGCACAGACTCACTTGCTTACAAAAACTCACACTAAGCTCTAGTGAAGGGGCAATAGCTCAAAAAGTATGTGGGACGCATGGGGAAGAAATGAATCGCCCTGCTTCAGAGCAAGGGCTGGAGGGTCAGATCTCTCTGGGACTAAAGTGCCTGCAGGTGCCATTTTTCCTTTGTTGAGCCCTTCCCCCAAATAGATGCCAGGTATAGGCAGGCACCAAATCTGAGTCTCAATTAACCTGGCTAACATGGCTAGCTCACCACACCCTGGTAATTCCCTGGGACCCCAGCAGAGGGCAAGGAGGCCCCAGAACCAACACACCCATGGCAGAACCAACTCAGACACTTTAGAGCAACACCCAAATAGCTCAACAAATGATATGCTCAAAGTGTGGACTTAATAGGAACCAGAAACCCACTAAGGTGAATTCCATACAATAGCTTGTCACAAGCCAGTCCTCACAGCAAGTCAGCCATAGGGTCAATCCCACCCAATGACAGGCCAACAGCAATCAAGGGTCAACAACAATAGGAGGGTATTTTCAATCCACACAAGGGACACCATGGAACACCTAGCTCAGGTGACCAGGGACTTGCACCATTGCGCCACACAAAAAAACCTACCTACTACATAAAAATGCTCTGCAAAAACTGGGAGATGAAGCAGATCTACCTGATATGTAGCTACACAGGGAGGTAGCCAAAATAAGGAGACACAGTAAATGTCCCAAATAAATGTCCCAAATAAAAGAACAGGACAAAACTTGCAACTAACCAGGTACAGAGTTCAAAACAATGGTTATAAGGATGCTCAATGAACTTAAGAAAAGAATAAATGAACTCAGTGAAACTCGTACTAGAAACCATAGGAAAAAATATCAAAAATGAAGAATACAATAACAGAAATTAAGAATACATTAGATGGAATCAACAGCAGATTAGGTGAAGTGGAGGGCCAAATCAGTGATCTGGAAGACAAGCAAATAGAAAACAGTAGAACAGCAATTTGAAAAAAGAATTTTTAAAAAGTGAAGACAGTTTAAGGGACCACTAAGACAACATTGGAATCATAGAAGGTACCATAAAAGTCCAGAAATTGCAGGGAGTTCAAAACAAGATGAACCCAAAGGGGCCTACACCAAGAAACATATAATTAAAATGCCAAAGGTTAAAGACAAAGAGAGAATCTCTTAAAAGCAGCAAGAAAAAAAGCAGTTAGTTACCTACAAGAGAGTTCCCATAAGACTGCTGATTTGTCAACAAAAATGTTGCAGGCCATAAGGGATTTGTGCAAAATAGTCAATGTGCTGAAGCAGGACCTACACCAAGATTATTCTACCTAGCAAGGCTATAGCTTAGAATTGATAAAGAGATAAAGAGCTTTCCAGATGAGAAAAAGCTAGAGGAGCTCATCACCACCAAACCAGCATTACAATAAATGTTAAAGGGACTTCTCGAAGGAGAAAAGATAAAAAATATGAATAAGAAAATAGTATAAAGAAAAAACTCTCACTTATAATGGTAAACACATAATAAAAACAGTGGATCAACCACTTATAAAGTTAGTACAGAAGGTAAAAGGCAAAACTAAGAAAATCATGTGTATTTACAACAGTAAATTTAAAGATACACACAAAAAAGAAGTAATAATAATTACAAAAAATATAAACATGGAGGAGGTAAGTAAAAAGGGTAATAATTTCAGAATGTGTTCAAATGCAAGCAAACATTAGGTTAAAATAGATGGCTATAAACATAGCTTGGTATATAAAGCACAAGTAACCACAAACCAAAAATCTACAAGAGACATACAAGAAATAAAAAGAAAATAATCCAAACACAACACTACAGAAAATCATTAACATAAAAAAGAAAAGAAAGAAACAGAGAACAACAGCAAAATCAGAAAATAATTAGTAAAATGGAAATAACTACAAGCAATCAATAATTACTTTAAATGAAAATGAACTAGAGGCAGATCTCTGGGTGCATAGCTTGGTTCTTTCCACATGCACCTAGGTCCAGCAGAGGAAGCCACAAGCTGTGGATGGCTGAAAGCTCCAAACAGGTTGTCCAGAGCCAGTCACAGATGGCATCTGATTTGGCCTGCAGCAGAGTCCCTCCAAATAGGCCCAGAACCAATCCACACAGAGGCCAGCTTCAGACAACAGCAGAGCAGGGTCCAATAAGCTCCACAAGCAGCACAGCCACAGGGAGGTGTTGGCAGCACCATCGCTGCTGAGGTGAATCCAGTTGGTGTGATTGGCACCGCACAGCAGCCTGCACGCTGTGTTGGGGGTTGAGACTCACTGTCAGCGAGCCTGAAGGTGATCCCATGTACAAATGGGCCAATAGCAATCAAGACTCAATTACAACAGGAGGACCCATGCAACATGCACAAGGAATATCATTAGAGCACCCAGGTCTGGTGATCAGGGAGGCTGTAACACTGGGCTCCACAGGTCACCTCCTATTTAAGCCACCATACCAAGACTGGGAGTCACAGAAGATTTACACAATACTTACAAACAAAAATAAAGGGGAAGCCAAAATGGGGAGACAACAGGCCCCAAGAAGAGCTGAACAAAGTGGAGATAAGCAATTTATCAGATATAGAGTTCAGAGTAATAATTATAAGGATGCTTAACAGCATGAAAAAGGATTTAGAAACCATAAAAAATTCAGAAATGAAGACTGCCATATCCGAAATAAGGAATACACTGGAAGGAACAAACAGTAGCCTCAGTGAAGCAGAGGATCAAATCAGTGAGTGGAAGACAAGGTGGAAAAAAACACCCAATGAAAGCAGCAAAAACAAAACAAAAAAAACCCAAAATTTTTTTAAAAATGAGGATAATTTAAGGGACCTTTGGGACAACATGAAGTGTAACAACATCTATGTCATCACAGTCCCAGGAGAAGAGAGGGAGCAAAGGGTCCAGAAATTATTTAAAGAAATAATTACTGAAAACTTCCTTAACCTGGTGAAGAAAACACATACAAGTCCAAGAAGCACAGAGAGTCTCAAAAAAGATGGACCCAAAGAGGCCTATACCAAGACACATCATAATTAAAATAGAAAAAGTTAAAGACAAAGAGAGAATCTTAAAAGCTGTAAGGTAAAGGAAGTCGGTTACCTACAAGGGAACTTCCATAAAACTATCATCTGATTTCTCAACAGAAACATTTTAGACCAGAAGGGACCGGCATGATATATTCAAAGTGATGAAAAGCACGGACCTACAACCAATGCTACTTTACCCAGCAAAGCTATCATTTAAAAATGAAGGAGAAATAAAACCTTCCCAGACAAGAAAATGTAAAGGTGTTTGTGGCCACCAACGCAGGAGTCCAAGAAATTTTAACAGGTTTCAAGAAGAAGAAAGAGGATGAGGAAGAGGAAAACAGAGGAATGTAGTTTAAAAAATGACAATAAATATGTTTCTATCAATATTCACTTTAAGTGTAAATGGCTTAAATGCTTCAAAGGACATAAGTTAGCTGTTGAATAAGAAAATAAGACCCATATATATGCTGTCTTCAAGAGACCCATGAGAGAGAGAGAGAGAGTGTGTCACACCTCAGAATGGAAGATACACACAGACTGAAAGTACAGAGATAGAAAAAGATATTTCATGTAAAT